TCCGAGCCAGGCAGGGGCTGTCCAGCTGGGATAGGTAGGGAATGTGCAGTATTTCCCCCACCTCACCTCGCAGGCTATTGTGGATGGCTCACTTTCAAGCTATTGTGCACTTCCCCTATTAACCCTGTGAATGCTGCTTGGGGCCATACTCCAGTAAGGGGTGTTAGTCCCTGCTGGCCGATCAGTTGGTTGCCTTGCCTCTCGTTTATAATAGAACTTTGTTGTGACCGTCACTTGTGATTGTAACATTCTGTTTTAGCAGTCAAGTGGATGCAACAAGGATAACTGAGCATCAAGAGAAAGCAGAAAAAGAGAACTAGGAGAAAGAGAGAGGAAGGGAGAGAGGAACGGAGCATGCTTTTTTAGCATAGGGAAAGGTACTGGGAGTACAGGGTTGCGGGGATTGGTGGTTACAGCAGTAGGCAGGGGTCAGGGATACAGCACTATAAGCGATTGGTGGATAGGGCTGTCAGGAAACAAAATTGGGCATGGAACTAAAAAGCCCAAAACTGAAACATAGGCAGGCAGAAAGCCTAAGCGAAATGGAAACTGAAATCTAAGGGAGCTGAAGCCTAAAGGAGAAAAGTAATTAAAACGATGGTGGGCCTAAAATGGTGGGGGTCTCATCAACTTTTGGGGATGATGTTTGACTCATTCCTCACAGCCTGCTACTTGCCCGTCCTAAGCCCCAGACTAGGAACTGAAGGTTTTTTTATGTTGTGGTCTCTATATTACACCCAATGGTAGGAGTAGTAGTAATCGCTTCCCCAAATGGCAGCTTGTACAAAATAATGTTTTTTTCCTGTTCCATCCTGTTTCAGATTTAGGATCCTGATTTTCTGATTTCCACAGAAACTGCAAAGACTATTTGAGAAAAAATTACCCTTGATAAGCTGCCTGACTGTCCCCTCTGATCCTCTGGCCCCCACTCAGCACCACCACCTGTCCTGCCGTTGACCTCAGCCCTCCATTTGCAGGTGCTTTCTAGCAATCTCGGAATGCCAAGAACTGTTCATACTCCTGAAGGGGGCAGGAACTATGGGCAAGCTAGACCCTTAAGCCCTCCTTCCTCCTGGGTCTTAGCACTTTATCCCTCAGGAGTTCAGCCCCTTTCCTGCAATAGGAAAGTTCCACATCTCTTAGGAACTTCCTTGCTGGACTCACTGCTGCCATGTTTAGTGCCACATGAATGTGACCCTACAATCTTTCCCCACCTCCTTGGTAAACATTTTTCAGTTTGTTTTGATAAATGTCAGCCACACTTTCCAGTGATGTTTTTAATACTGCCAGGACTACTACCCAACTCATTTTTTTTCTAACTTAAAAAAATTGTTATTTTTGCTAGATGCATAATTATACCTATTTATGGGGTATAATATGATGTTCTGGTGCATGTGTACAATGTATAATGATCCAAGTTAGAGATATTAGTATATCACTTTAAGCATTTATCAAGTCTTTGTGGGGCAGCACTAAGAACTCTCTTTTAGCTATTGGAAATAAAGAATACTTGTACACTATTTTAACCATAATCACCCTGCTGAGCACAAAACACTAGAACTTGCCCTTCCTACCCAACTGCCTTATTGTACCCATGGACTCATCTCCCCCTTCTCCCCTCATCTCCCTCCTCTCCAGCTTCTGGTAACAACTGTACTAGTCTCAACTTGAGAGAGATAGTTCTACTGAGTAAGATCATGCAGGGAGATTGCTGACCTTCCGTGCTCACCCTATGTTACATAACATAATGTCCTTAAGGTGTAGCTATGTTGTTGCCCATGACAAGTTTTTTTTTTTCTTTTTTAACTTTTCCTGGCGGAGTGGCATCCTATCGTGCATACGTAACACAACTAACTCCTTTATCCATTCATCTGCTGACGGACCTGTAGGCTGACTTCATGTTTTGGCTATTGGGAATAGCATTACTGCAAATATGGGTGTGCAGGTGTGTCTTTGGTAGTGTGGTTTCATTTCCTTTGGGTATACACTCAGTAGCGATAGCAGGAAGTAGCTTTATTATTCTTAAAGGATGTTAAAACAATTTAAAACTGCCAGCTTGGAAGCAACTTATGTGAACTATACATACAAGTATGTCTTCAAAAGCACTAATTTAGAAAATGGACATGGAAAGGAAAAGTACTGATTGGGAATTCGTCAGCAGATACTAAAATGTTATTGTGGCTTTACATAAGACACAGATCTAAACAATCTCATGTATTACAGACATTAACCCTAGATTTAATCATTGTCCCCCAGACATAACTAAATACCTAAATGGTTTCATTGGTAAATATTACTAAATGATTAAAGAATAATAGCACAGTAATATATTCTTTCACAAGGCCTGGCACGGTGGCCTGGCAGCTAAAGTCCTCACCTTGAACATGCCAGAATCCCATATGGGTGACAGTTCTAATCCTGGCACCCCTGCCTCCTATCCAGCTCCCTGCTTGTGGCCTAGAAAAGCAGTGGAGGTTCGGCCAAAGCCTTGGGATGCTGCACTCGCATGTGAAACCAGGAGGAAGTCCCTGGCTCCTGGCTTCGGAACAGTGCAACTCCAGCTGTTGCAGTTACTTGGGCAGTGAATCATTGGGTGGAAGATCTTCCTTTTTTTTTTTATCATCTCCTCTCTGTATGTCTGATTTTGCAATAAAAGTAAAATAAATAAAAATAAATAAATCTTAGATATATATTCTTTCACAAAGTGGAGAGTCTTATGCTTTCTCATTCATTTTAATAACCAACATAACACTGATAACACAAAATAATGAATAAGAAACATAGGACAGATTTATAGTCCTAAGCAGTGAAAGTGAAAATAAAGCCCTTTAGCTAAATAGATAACAAATAAAAACAAAATGTGGGGCCCAGCACTGTAGCCTAGTGGCTAAAGTCCTTGCCTTGCACACACAGGAATTCCACTTGAGTGCCAGTTCTAATTCCAGCGGCCCCAGTTCCCATCCAGCTCCCTGCTTGCAGCCTGGGAAAGCAGTCGAGGACGACCCAGAGCCTTGGGACCCTGCACCCACGTGGGAGACCTGGAAGAAGCTCCAGCTCCTGGCTTTGGATCAGCTCAGCTCCAGTCATTGTGGCCACTTAGAGAGTGAATCAGTGGATGGAAGATCTTCCTCTCTTCCTCACCTCCTCTCTCTATATCTGATTTTCCAATAACAATAAATTAATCTTTTAAGAAATAATCAAATAAAATGTGAAACATAGGATGTTTTCTTCTCTTTCTCCTTGATCTGTATGGCCTACTGCGAAGATGTGTATTTTTGTGACAGCTGCTATCTTCCTCTTACTTCTACTGTTGGACTTCCTTACACATTTCTTTCTGTTTTAAAAGAAGATTTATTTATTTTTATTGGAAAGGCAGATTTACAGAGAGAAGGAGAAACAGAGAGTAAGATTTTCCATCAGCTGGTTCACTCCCACAAATGCCCTTCATGGTTAGAGCTGAGCCAATCTGCAGCCAGGAAGCAAGGGTTTCTTCTGGATCTCCCACACCATGCAGGATCCCAAGGCTTTGGGCCATCCTCTACTGCTTGCCCAGGCCACAGGCGGGAAGCTGGATGAGAAGTGGAGTAATCGAGACACGAACTGGTGTCCACATAGGATCCTGTCATGTGTAGGGCAAGGATTCAGGCACTGAGCCATTGTGCCAGGCCCAGAACACATTGCCTGTAGGGATGAGCTGGTGGTGAAGTTCCGCAATGAAACCTTTGCTCGTTCAGTTCAGTGGAGGTGCTTCCGTCCATGTTGTGTCGGCCCTACAGCTCTTCCAACTCTGCCCTTCCACCCTCGAAGGCTATCCACACTGGCTCTAGACCTTTCTTGTCAAAGCAGCTTTGTTCATGTGCCAGTTCCCTGTGGTGATAGGCTGGCTTCCTATTTGTTCTGGATTTTGCACAGTGATTAGTTACAGATTGCTGGCAGGGAGAGGAGGTCAGCAAGAACAGTGTTCATTTTCCGTGCAGAGCCCCACGCAGGGTCCCAGGCGCCCAGCAAGCAGCTCAAGGCCAGGTTTCCTGGGAACTGCTGAACACCGGAGAGGTTCCGGAGTTCCACCGACTTGCAGTCACTTTTTACGGCAGTTAATATCAAAACCCACTTAAAACCAATGCATTTTCACTATCATCACTGAGGCTGCATTGATGTCACACACATAACTGGAACATGGAAGAATCATACCTATGTTCACACTTACTACGGTTTAGTAACAACTCTTTCATTATTGTGTGGTAGAAGGCAGTTATTTCTACTACATGCTTCTGCATACAGAGTCAACGCTTACATAGACTAGATCGACAATCTTTGCAGCAAGTGGATTCTGTGCTGGGATTCCTCTCTTGGCCCACGCCCCGGGACCACGGCATGTCTAAAGCATCCTTAGCAGAGGGGAAGCCCAGTGTGTTTTCTTTCATTAGCACTGCCAGAGTGCAAGGCATGTCTTTTTCAGCTGCTTAGAGAGTTTCTTCTAGCAGGTGGCATATAAAGGGAACAATGGATAACTACAGACAAAAAGCCTTGGGATCGCTGAAGGAGCAGCCTGGTCCGCAGTCCCCATCTTCCCTTTTCTGCTCAGGCCGCACCTGCCTGAAACAGCGTCAGGAGAGGCGATGTAAAGCTGCACACTTTTGTCTCCACATGCACCTTTAGAAAAGCTTCTTAAACATTTCGCTTTGAAAAGCAGCCTTTTCCTCATTTCCCATTAATCTGTCCGCGACGGGGCGACTATCATCACTGTCTCCGCGGCTTCACTTCGGACACACGTGACAGCACAAAAGATTTAACTTCAAGTGGGAAGCATCTCGCTTACTCCTGCAAGCCTTGGAAAACCCAAGTGGCTTCCAACCTGGACAAAAGATTGCAGCGGGGCTTGGCGCTCGGGAGGAGGAGCCCCGCCGGCCGCCCCGCCCACGGGCGGAGCCTGCTCGCCACGCCCCTCAGCCACGCCCCCGGCGTAACCCGGATACACACCCACGCTCCCCTTTCACCTCGCGGCCCGTGTGGGTAACGTGGAAGTCCGAGCCGCCGGCCGGCCGCGCTGGGGCTGCCACGAGGGTCTGGGCGGCGCGGGGCGGCCTTTCCGGGGAGGGAATGACGGGGCGCGCGGGCGCCTGGGAGCCGACGGCGGTGTAGCCCGCCTTGCGCCCGGCCCGGAGCGTAGCGGCGGCGACGGCAGCGGCTGCCGGTCCCGGGAGGCCAGGGAGGGCCGCCGCCTCGAGCGGCCGAGCGCCGGCGCCATGGCCCCCATGGGCATCCGCCTGTCCCCTCTGGGGGTGGCCGTATTCTGTCTGCTGGGGCTCGGCGTGCTCTACCACCTCTACTCGGGCTTCCTGGCCGGCCGCTTGAGCTTCTTCGGCCTGGGCGGCGAGGCGGGCGGCGGAGCGGTGGGGCCCGCGGCCGGGGCCGACGGGGGCATCGTGGACTTGCGCGAGATGCTGGCCGTGTCCGTGCTGGCCGCGGTTCGCGGCGGCGACGAGGTGAGGCGCGTCCGCGAGAGCAACGTCCTCCACGAGAAGTCCAAGGGGAAGACGCGCGAGGGAGCCGAGGACAAGATGACCAGCGGGGACGTGCTCTCCAACCGCAAGATGTTCTACCTCCTCAAGACGGCCTTCCCGAGCGTGCAGGTGCGGGGCGCGGGCGGGAACATGGCTCCCGACGCGTGGAAATAAAAGATGCCCCAAAGGGAGGGGACTGCAAGGTCACCAAGCAGCGCCCTGAAATGCTGGGGGAGGTGGCACACAGTGAGACGTGGCCCCTGGTTGTGGCTCCGTGCGCTTTGTGTCCAAGGATCAAGAGACCCTAGTTTCTTCGTGGGCTTTGCCAGCAGAATTCGGAGACTAGGGAACTGCCCTGTGGGTCCAGGCCCCTCTGCAAAGTGCATTTTTGGACTGGATTCCTCCTGTGCAGTCCCCCTCTCCCGCCTTGATTTCCTTTCTGGAAGCTTTGTGAGTGGAGGTCGCGGTTTCCGGCACACAACGGCCAGCAGCCACCCAGGAGGCCAGGAACTGTGCAAGTTTTGTTGCAGGGCTTTTGGGAAGGGAGAGTTGTGCTGAGGAATTACTGTTGCTGTAGTTGCATTGGGGTTCTTGGTGGCACGTAATCTGAGGCCCTTCAAGGAAGTACTTGTGTAGCTGCGTCCAGCAACATCTCAGGCGGCCCCATCTGGCACTTGCTTAAAGATCTCTATACCCCAGCGAATACAAGTTAAATAACTTACGCCTTTGCTTTAGGTCGACTTCTGGAGGAGCTGACGTTTTCTTGGAGATCCTTACTTTGCAGATTGGTTAATATTTTTGTAATCCATATTTCAGTGGCGCTTCCATTGAACGTATTACAAAGCCCTTAAAGTGTATTGCACTTGCAGAGGAAGTGTAGCAATATCTACCGTGTCTTTACTCACCTAACAGTGGGTTTTGACGGCTTGGAGGAAAGATTGGGATTTCATTATCCTATAATCAGTGGTATCATGGGTTTCTTTGCAAGTTCTTTGACCTCTTACTGTTACTGGGAAAGTTGAGTATTGTCACTGTATAGTTACATATCTTGTGTAGTTAGTCTCATTGCAGCCTATCATTATTGCTTTGGTTTTCTCTCCTTCCCCTACCATTCCTTACCTTTTTCTTTCTCACCCCCCTCCTTTGTTGTTTTTTGTTTTTTTTTTTAACAGCAAAGAGGAATATTGGGCTTCCTCTGATGAACTGCCGGATTTCACATGTAATTGACATCAGTGAGCGTTTTTTCAGATGTCTACTAAAACAGAAAACATTTCCGCCTTTTCTTTCACCCTACTTGCTCCATTATCTTAAAGAATACTCATGTTCCTTTGTAAGGTGTATTTTGAGATAAAAATTATTTTCATTTGGAAGAATTGCAGACGAGAAGTGATCTTCCTCGCTGGTTTGCTCCTGGAGTGGCCACAACAGCTGGAGCTGAGCTGAGAAGCTAGGAAGCAGGGGCTTTCACTGGGCACCTGATGTGGGCTTGAGCTGTCCTCTGCTGCTCTCCCAGGTTATAGCAGAGAGCCGGATCAGAAATAGAGCAGCCCAAACCAGAACTGTACCCATATGGGATGCTGTTGCCACAGATAGAAACTTACCCTGATACGCCATGCCCTTGTTTATACTCATGTTACATATAGAAAATCTGAGGCTCAAGACAAACATAGGCTTATCCAAATTTTTACGTAATTAAGTCTTCATTTTGGCTGCATCTCTTGGGAGCTATATGAAATGTAGTAGTATGTCTTCCTGAGGAGAAAAACATAACAAATGTTTAAAAACAGAAAATTTTATTTGAAAAGTAAAGACAAACATATCTTAAGTATTGCGAATACATCTGTACATGTGTGCTAGTTCCCATAGCAGATAGTAAAGGAGTGGCTGCCAGGGGTGGTGAGCTGCCTTCTATTAAAGACAGAAGCCATGCTTTGGAGTTGCGGATGTTGGAGTCTCTGCCTTGATGTAAATTGCCCGCTTTCTTCTGAAGCTTTGACCGTGGACACGTGCGTCTTCAGTGTTCGGCTTGGGTGTTTGTGTTCGTGAAGCACTGCCAGGTAGGGCTGGTGTCACGTTGCCGTCTCCTTGCGCAGGCTAACAGGCAGAGGTTGTGGTCATCTGAACAGTAGACTCAGCCCTGGATTTTGTCCCCTCTTGCCTTCCCTCGCCCAGTGCCTAGAAGCACACTTGCTAAATGCCTGGTTGTTTTTGAAATCTCACCCAAAACTTTGTAATAAGAAATTTGAATCGTATCATGTTAAGTGTACTTCCTGATGGAAAATGAGCTTTGAGAAACTGCAAATACTTCTTTATTTTATCCTGGTGCCCTGTGCAAATGAGAAAGGTGTGTTTTCTTTTCTCCTACTTTCCTGTCTGGAATCTGAGGTCTGAGTTTCCCCACCAACTATTTGCTCCTCAGTATAAGCATATAACAAAACTCATGTTAAAACACTCATCCAAGACCAGTTTGCTTCCTTCTCCACAAAGGGATTTTTGGTAGTGCCTGAGAATATTTTGTCAGAACCAGGGGTGGACTGCTTTTAGCATCTTAGTAAATATTGTATAATGTTCAGCCCTTGTAATAAGGCATTAACCTGGGGCCTGGCGGCATGGCCTAGTGGCTAAAGTCCTCGCCTTGAACGCACCGGGATCCCATTTGGGCGCCGGTTCTAATCCCGGCTGCTCCACTTCCCATCCAGCTCCCTGCCTGTGGCCTGGGAAAGCAGTCGAGGACAGCCCAAAGCTTTAGGACCCGGAAGAAGTTCCTGGATCCTGGCTTCGGATCAGCATAGCATCAACCATTGTGCTCACTTGGGGAGTGAATCATCAAATGGAAGATCTTCCTCACTGTCTCTCCTCCTCCTCTCTGTATATCTGACTTTGTAATAAAATAAATAAATCTTTTTTAAAAATAGTCACTTAATAAGGCATTAATCTGGCCACATTTGTCACTTGATGCCCAGGTTGAGGATCATGATGGCACTAAAGGATGAAGGCAGTTTTGTGGATTGTTTGTAACTACAGATCAAAGGAACAAACTTATAAACTTGTTTTATTGTATTTGAGAGGCAGAGAGGGGATACTCCACTATCTGCTGCTTATTGCCCCAGATGGCCACAGGACACAGAGGTGGCCAGGTGGAAGCCAGGAGCCTAGCTCAATCCATGCATCCTGTGTTGCTCACAGGAGCCCAACTACTTGAGGTGTCGCCTGTTTCCTTCCAGGTGTGCACTAGCAAGAAGATGGATTGGCTGCCTCTGATACAGGATACAGGCATCTTGACTGCTAGATCAAATACCTGCCATGAACTTCTTTGAGCCATAGTTTATTTTGTTAAATCAGGATTACACTTGAGGGAATTATTTTGGAAAATTAGAAAGGTAGGTAAGGGTTAGGTCATACTCCAAGCTCTGTAGAGTTTGAAACAATGCCAAGCGAAACTAACTTTTCTTCAGGTCTGTGACAACCTGGTTTGGATTTTGAGCATTTGAAGTGATTGAGATCATTGAAGAGATTGTGAAATAGGCCAGGTGAAAATGAAGACTAGAATTCAGGCATTGGAACAGTGATGCTCAACTTACTTTACTAACAAAAATTATTAGCTTCCAGCAATTGCCAAACACCAAGTTAAACTTTTTAGTGCCATTTTAATTGGTCGTCACAAGAACATAGAAAATTAAGTAAGATGGCCTCCTTTTGAACATGAAAATGAGGCTTGGAAATACTGAATACTTTCCCAAACATTACCCAGTAGGAAAATAACCTTCACCAAGTAGTCTGAGAATCACCTCAGGTCTTTCGGAGGTTTCAGGAGAAGTGCATTCTCGACTACAGCATTTGGAAGAGTGGGTGATTCAGATTGAGGATTGCGGAGTTGTGGAGGGGAGCCAGGCAGATACAGGGAGACCAGTTAGGCTTTTCAGGTGAGAGATACTATAATTTTTCTGGGTGATATGTAGAAAAAGATAGATATGGTATGGTATGAAATGATTTTTAATGATCATAAAAAATAACTTCTGGATGGAGTGTTCCTAATTGATGCCTGTTGTGGTGGGAAGAGGAAAGGGCGATGAAGTGCAGGAGGGTACACTCTAAGTGCTATCTTGGACTGGTTACTTCAAGGATGCCTTTGATATGTTCCGGGGACATGTTTAGGAGGCAGTATGGATCTTAAGTTCTTGAGAGAATTCTGAAGTAGAAATACAAATTTGTGAGCTGTCAGCACCGTGGTGTTAATTGAAACTAGTTATAGGTAGGATTGTTGGGAGAGAAATGTATCTTGAACAGTGCTCATAAGGGTGTAGGACCGAGGATAATGAAAGCATTTAACAGGAGTAATAGCAGCCAAAGCCTTGTGCTAGGCACTGTTCTGAGGTTATTTGTTTTACCCTTTCTCTTTTCTTGATTTTCTTAGGCAGTCTGAGGAGCTGTATCTATTGCCCCCTTTTGTCAGTAAGATGACTGTGTGTTAGAAGGGTTAGTAACCAGTCAAAATCTCTTAAACACAATACTAAGGAGCTGGAGTCTGAACATGTGTAGCCTGTAAGCTAGACAGTCTCGATCTTTGTGTATAGGTCATTGGTGGGCTTTGTGAAAGCTTACTTGATTGCAGGGCAGAGAAGAATCAAAATTAAAAAAGGCAGAAGGTGAGACAATGAGTAAAGAAAAGTCCTTTCAAAAAATTGGGTTTCTGGAGCTAGTGTTGCAGCGTGGAAGGTAAAGTGGCTTCTTGTGACACTGACATACTGTATGGGTACTGGTTCGTGTCCTGGTGGTTCCATTCCTCACCCAACAACCTTCTTATGACCTGGGGAAAGCAATGGAAAATGGGCCAAGTTTTTGGGTCCCTGCCACCCATGTGGGGGACAAGCTCCTGGCTCCCGGCTCTGTCCTGGCCTAGCACAGGCTGTAGTGGCCATTTGTCTCTGTAGCTCTTTCTTTAACTCTGACTTTCAAATAATTAAATAAATCTTAAAAAAAAAATGGGTTTCTAAGAAAGTTGACTCATGTTGTGTGAGACTAACAGAAGATTGTGTGTCTGTGTGTATCCATGCATATGTATGTAGTTGGTAAACAATATGTGTTTAAGATGTATGAGAGACAAAGCATACCTGCTTATATTTGGAAAA